AGTTATGGTTCTTAGGATCTTATCATGATCCAGAGACATGAGCCCTCATTTCTTCTCTCGGTGTCTTTGGTCAGTCTATTTGTAAAATATGTTCCGTTTGTTTTATCTCATCTCCAGCGAACATTTATCATCTTTCTGTTGACCACATTGTTTGTTAACGGCCCGTCACGGCTCCTCCCTTCTCAGTGGCAGTGGAACATATTTTATACCATATCAGGATATAATCAAAGATGCTGCATGTTCTTGGCTATCTTCAGACTAAACAGGATGAAACTGTTTTTGGAGGAACTCAATAGGAAATCTTTGGAGTTTGGTCACTAAATCATTTTGTATCTGGATAAGGAAAAATACCAACAAAAAAAGTAAACAAATAAAAATTGTCGGGAAAAAAATATATAAAATATTTGCGGTCCTATACATGCCTTTCTATTATCTTTGGACATTTAATAAATAATCGCCGGAGCATGCGTTCGTTCCTCTACCAGGGACATACTGTGGCAGGCACGCATGACAAGTCATTCAGCCTGACAAGAATTTCTACCATTGCTGATACCCGGGACCTCACATTATGAAAATCGTGCACCACATGCCAACAATTAACCTATCCATCACGGTATGCACACGCTGTTCATTCGTTCGTTGGCTACATCGTTTGTTGGAGTGCCGTGTCCAATATCCATGACTTTGAGAGTTCTATGAGAAATGCTAAAAAAATAGAAGGGAGGAGGAGTAGGGTGGTGGTCAAAGGGAAATCTGGCCATTAGGCTTCTGTTTGTTAAAACCATTAAGAGTAAAGCAAAACCTAACGAAAATAAATCAGAATGCAGTTATAAAAAAGGAGGAAGGGGCACAGTGGTGCAAAATGCTATTTTTATATTTCGTGAATAAAAACTTATAAAATGAGAGACTTCACAGAGACAACCTTTCACTGAGAGAGACTGAGAGATTTATGCAGTTCAAAAAGTTAATCTAAGAATCTAAACTTTAATAAAATGTTATTATTTCGGTTATTGTATTATTTGAAAATATTTTTACAACCTCAAAAGCTTTGCAAAAAATGCAAATGTGGCTACCTATTGATCGAATCATTATAACAGCCGTAGATCTATTCAAGGCATTTGATATAGTCGATCATTCCATGCTGATTCCTGACATAATAAGTTCAATCCCTTAGAATTATGTCCGGTCTAAAAACTGTGAATGGTGTGACGGCGTTCGTGAATTCTTTAATCGACATTAAAATAAGATGTAATTCCAAAGTGAAGTGAAGTCAATTTATGAGCCTCAAGTTTTATACAAATTTTATTATTTCAGTTATTGTATTTTTGAAAATATTTTGAAAAGAATTAATACAACATAAATGAAATGCTTTAAGGTTATATTAATAGAAAATATGTTTTCATTCTCTTGTGAAAAATAACAGGCCGATATCAATCCAACCTTGAAGTTAAAAATCACAAAAAAATCTTTTTAGGATCTTCTTAAAAATATTTCACACACAATCTGGTTCTATGAACGTGGTATACATAATTTGTCTAAGTTACAACTTCTCTTAAATCTCAAAGTTCACTAAAAATTCTTTCTGTATCACCCCAACTCTCAACTTCTTCGACATTTCTCTATAGAGAACTCTTAGCCCCATCTATAATGGTTTTTATTCATTTATATTTTTAAATTGAGCTTAATATTCGAATTTGAAATGTAAAACATATATTCCAAGTGTTGGGGCACTAAGCATAGCAGTTTAACAGCTTTGTGACTTAGAAATATCATAAATGATCTGCTATTCTGTAACTAATTTACGATAATTATCTATAACTGCCAAAATTCCATTTGCTTGTAATTTTCGTTAATTAGCAACAATCTTCGGTAAGTTAATTACCAACATTATGTAGTCGCCAAGACTGAAACAAGATTGAAACATTCTTGTCAATTTTGAAAGATATTTTAAATATGAGAAATTCGCCTTTAAAAATTACCGAAACCGGAACGTCGAAATTTTTTCATAATGCAGTAGTCGGTAAATGTCGAAATTACCTCCGCTAGGGAGGCTCCAATGATCTTCAGGAATTTCCTTTATGATACCCGTTCTTCACAAGGAATGGGAAGTTCTCAGAGAACTTCCGGCCGGCTGCAGCTGCAATGATCTTCAGGGATTTCCTTTCTGCTACCCGTTCTGTACAAGGAATGGGAAGTTATCTGAGACTGTGGTTGTTTAACTCTCTGAAATCCTGTCAGTTCACATAGCTATGGTGTAGAAAAGTGCGGATGACAAAAATTTTTTTTCGAAGAAAATTTTGCAGTATAAAGAGTATATAATTAAAAAATCTATGAACCAAATGTTAGAATTTTTAATAGAGAAACTAATTAAATTAACGACAACCAACGACACATTTTGAGTCATTTAAATTATTAATTTTAATATTTTTTGAGAAGGACAAACATTTTCCGACTTAATGTTTTTCTTGTTTTAAATCACACATCTTTTCCAACCACTGTCCTCCAAGAACACATATTACCAATAACACAACCCATGACCAAAACAACAACAACCATAGCTCTCATCATATGGAACACTTAGAAATATTGTGTGGTGCATGACCATATTTCAGTTGAATTGAATTTTTGCTTGTCAAATACCACTACAACAACAATATAGAACTCCACTCGTTCGTATGTTCGTCCTATTATTCACTTTTTGTCTTTTGGAAAAAGATCACCTGAATCTTGAACCGCCACAAAGCCAGACAGGCAGCCATTCAGTCTAAGCAGAAACCTATTTGCAGCAGTCGAATACCGTTGCATGTAAAATATATGGTGGTGGCGGGTGAGTGTGAGTACCCACCGCTTTGGCTTGATTGTGAGTGACTGCCTTTAACAAACTGACAAATTGCCCGGGTCCATTAAGACAACAAAAATGTGTGTGTGTGCGGCAGGCAGGCAGCTCGCCACATCTCCGCTTCCAGTAAGAGCTGCAGCCAGCCTGCCAGCCATGCGAGTAAGACAAAAATTCCAGCTACTGTCAGGAACGTTTACATTTGACAAACAACAATTGCTGTTGCAATTTTGTAGTTGCTGTAACTGAGGAACAACAGCTGCTGCTGTTGGAATCAATTTTCTGCAAAACTTCTTAACGTTATGTTATTGTTATTACATCGTCAGGTTGGTGTTGTTGTTGGGATTTTTCTCAAAAAATCATGTAAACGCGGGTTTGTGGGTATATCTGGCACTCCGTAACTGAAACACACCGCCGACAACAAATTGCCATGTCGTTACTTTTTTTGATGGTGTTGCGTTGTTGTTCGGGGGAGTTACATGTTCTGGGTGTATTCACATGGCAAAGCATAGAAAAAAACCTCCAACAAATGGTTAATGGATTCGAATCACGAAATTGTTTTAACAAATGTTTTGTTTGTCCAATTTGAAAGCCCCCCAAAAAAATTATTATGTCCATATAACACACCAGTGGCCACAGCCATCAACAACATTTTCAGGAGCAGCAAACTGCATATGGCTATCCAAAAAAGTGCATGTATTTTTTTGTAATGCTAACAAGACGATCGCTCAATCTCCATCTGAGAAAATTGCATCATTTGCTGCAATGAAAGATGAAATTGGTTATTATGGTGATGGTCTGTTAAGGAAATTGGAAATTGTTAACTTTATTACCCACATTACCGGTTAGGCGCCATATTTCTGTAATTAAGTTATTAAAATTTTGGGTAAACATTTTTCAAAAGGTAATCAGGTTGAATATTTAAGTTATTTTGAATATTTTGCACTGATATTCAGGAAACAGTTTATCCCCTTAAGAAATCTTTGATGTGAATTTGCCATGATGTGAGAGGTGACAGATAACCATCTAACAGGCCAATATTCTACACATTATCTCTAAGAATGATTCTTAGAGGAATCGGAAATATCGAATAAACTACCTGGATAGCACTGTAAGTGTCTAATTGATTGAACGAATTCCTACGTCGCGTGTAAAGGTGGCTCTAGTTAACCACCTCTAAACACGACAGGGAAAATAATGTCAGGACTCTCTAATCAAAAACATCGGTTCCAATGTTGCACCACTTCAGATGCTTCAACCATTTATTCTGCGTATGCTCCGCGACTAATCGGCTGACCTCTAATGAGTTTCCTGACCCTGGGATTTGCGCGTTAGATCCACAGAGCTCTGCTAGGGAACTAGGTATCAGGCCGGCTGCAATGATCTTTACGGATTTCCTTTCCTGCTACCGTTCTTCACAAGGAATGAGAAGTTCTTTCTATGATTGATGAACTCTCTTAAACTCCTTGTACATTAAAACTTTTTATCGGGTTAACCCACTTTATGAAGATTTATTTGACGTATATGCAAAGGAATTGACAATTGAAACCCACTGGCTTAACGAAATCCGGTTAAATGTAAACGTACTATTAAATCCTGTTAGTTTGCATTACTACGGCGTAGGAGAGTGCGGATGACAACAGGCGTTCTTTTGATAGATATGTCTAATCCAAGTGAAATTACGGACTGCCAGTTAACGTAATGGTTATATCTCGCTAACTGTGACGCTCTGTTTCGTCATCTCATAGAATAAAAACATTTCCTGGTATATATTTGCATTATATCCATTTTTAATTTCGGTCGAAAAATGTCATCCAGTTATCCCTTTGAATCATCTTATATATAAATTCCATTTATTTTATATATACCACCACCTTAAGGAGTGGACGGGGAAAGAATGCAGCTCGTTTACTAGATAAGGAGAAAATCTAGTAAGCGAGCTGCATTCTTTCCCCGTTTAGAATCCACCAAATTCTACTCTATTTCTTAAAAATATCAAAACCTTTTTATTTCAGTTACAATTACTTATACAGTTTTAAAGCCACTGTCTTTATTGGGTGTGCTATCATATGTACATGAATGCATCGAGTACAAGAGGAAGAAGAAGAACGAATGTAAACAAAAAACTACGTTTAGTGAAAATTATTAAAGTGTTTACAATTTATTTAATAATACTGCCGATTTTTCAAGCAAAATGGGTAAAAGACAGCATCAGAAAGATAAAATGTAAGTGTAAACAAGATTAGAGAAATTAATAGAGAATTTTTAACAAAGCCATGAAAACCAATAGACGGGAAGCATCTGATTAAAGCCCATGATTAAGTTGGGTAGACGTTTTGATAATGATTCCAGAGATTTGATGTTCCAAATTTCAAGAAATAACCAAGTTTTATATTAAATATCCCATATATTATCAATCAAACATATTTGAAAGATTCCACAGATAGCCTTCCTGGCAAGGAATTGTTTTCTAAAATTTCAACTTCGATTTATAGAACTTTTAGACCCTACATCCCTGCAAGTAAGGATTTTCCAAATATAAAGCGCCGATGCCTTTGACTGCTCCACAGATTTCATGTACGGTATAAATTCCTGGCTGTATTGAAAATTCTTCATTGACATCAGTATTTTATTTAGATTTTCTAAATTAAACTCTTATATTTTTAAAGGTATCTCACCTACACCGAATGGTCGGAATTGTATGGTGGGAAGAAATTTGAGTCAGCTGAAAACGAACATGTGAAATTTAAACGTTTACCTTACGATTGCTGCTGCATTACCCTGGTACCCTTTGAAATACCCTATTCTGATGAAGAGGGCAATGTTTTCGAGCTACAAGCCATACACGATTTCATAAAGAAATTCAAAGTGAATCCTGTTACAGGGAAACCGCTAGATGCCAAGGCATTAGTAAAACTAAATTTCCATAAAAATTCTGAAGATGAATATCACTGCCCCGCTTTGTTTAAACCTTTCACGAAAAATTCCCACATAGTGGCCTTGAAAACCACAGGGAATGTTTATTCGTGGGAAGCCATCGAGCAGTTAAACATAAAAGCCAAAAGTTGGAAAGATTTAATTGATGATACCCCGTTTCAACGCAAAGATATTATAACCATACAGGATCCACAGCATTTAGAGAAATTTGATATTTCACGATTCTATTATATTAAAAAGAATTTAAGAGTTCTAACGGAGGAAGAAGAATTGGAGCGGAATGATCCGACGAAGAAAATTAAGACCATGAATTTGGAGACTCGCGAAACTTTGGAACAGCTGGAAAGAGATTATAAGGAAAAAGAGGTACATGCCACCACCTCAAAACAGACAGCAGATAAATTTAATGCCGCCCATTATTCAACGGGTGCTGTGGCGGCCAGTTTTACTTCCACTGCCATGTCAGTGGAGGTGAATCATGAAGCTGCCATAATTGATGAAGATATGGTGTTGTACGATCGTGTCAAAAAGAAGGGATACGTTCGTTTAAGTACCAATATGGGCCCGTTGAATTTGGAATTGTATTGTGATCAGGTGCCAAAAACATGTCACAATTTTATACGCCACTGTGCGGATGGGTATTATAATGGCACATTGTTTCATCGTTCTATAAGAAATTTTATGGTTCAGGGCGGAGATCCAACGGGCAAGGGTACAGGGGGTACTTCGATTTGGGGCAAAAAATTTGATGATGAATTTAAGCCGAACTTAACGCATTCTGGAAGGGGTATGCTTTCCATGGCAAATTCGGGACCTAATACAAATGGTTCACAATTGTAAGTTATAGCAGAAAAAGAAAAACTATTTCAATTTCTAAAAACTAAATTTTTTCATAGCTTTATAACCTATCGCTCCTGCAAACATTTGGATGGCAAACACACGGTGTTTGGCAAAGTGGTCGGTGGCTTGGAAACATTACAAAAAATGGAACAAATCGAAGTGGATAACAAAGATCGTCCCATTGAGGATATCATCATAGAGTCCGTACAAGTTTATGTTGACCCATACAAAGAAGCTGAAGAACAATTGGCCGAAGAAAGAGCCCAAGAAGTTGAAAAACAACAACAAGAGAAACAGCAAGAACAGACAAAGAAACGTATGAAAGAACCTTTGAAGGTATATCGTGAGGGTGTGGGTAAATATTTGAACATACAAGCAACCAAGCAGGCTCAGAAAGAAGAAACCCCCACACCGATCTTGTTTGGTGGTGCGGTCGTGAGAAAGAAAGCATCAGGAAAGTCCGGCTTTGGAGACTTCTCATCTTGGTAAAGGTAATTTTTAATAAAAATGCATATTTCTTTGTAGAAAATTATTTGTAGTTTTTATTTTTAAATCTAAGAATTATCTGTTGTTTTATCCCTTGCCGTTTCCTGTTGCTCACGTTCCTTCCATTTTTGTTTCATTTCTTGTAATTTGTTTTGTCTACGTTTTCGCTCGGCTGACTTTTTACTCTCGATGGCCTTTAGCTGGGCTTGTATGGAAAATTCCCCATTCAAATGGGCATCTAATTTCTCCAATAAGATTTTACGTGCCTCTTGGCGATTTTTATGGGCTGAACGATGAATGTGGCACTTGACCACAATGTTGGTTGGTATGTGTCTTAGTAATACACAATTAGATGTTTTGTTAACTGCTTGACCACCAGGTCCACTGCCACGAGTAAATGTCTCCTCTAACTCCTCCTCAATTAGTTTGGGATAACGTGAGTAGTCCAGCTGTTGGTGATGTTTGAAACGCAGGGAAGTAATAGCATATTGTGGGGTTGTTGGTTTCATCAAGGCAACAGGTGTTTGTCTTAAAGCATTTACAACGTTTCCTTCGGTGACTAACAGCTTCCCCAATAACCCCAAAGATCTGCAATAATTTTGTAACATGGTGCTCCTTATAGTATGCGTCCCTTACGCAGCAACGTTTCTCCTCTCTGTGGATGTTTTGAAAACATATTAGGTATTGGTTATTATTTTTTTTTGTGTGAGCTGGACCTACCTTAAAATTGAATTCTATTTTATGCTGCTCCGTTTCTTTGCAATTCTCACGAAACTCACGTCTCACCCGGCCCAAAAAATACGACTTGTCGGTTAATTGCAATTGATTGCCGTAACGTATTAAATGTTTGTACAAACGCAAAACTTGTTGTCGCGATGGTGGTAACATTTCACAAAATTTTTAATTCAATATTTTTTGTGGGAATATATTTTTTCAATAGTTTTCTGTGGGGTGCAATTGTTGAGCGGTTACGTCGTATTCTGTCGCCGCATTGTTTTCAATAAAACATCTGTTTTTTGTTGTTGTGCTATTGTGCGTTTGTGTAAACACATGATTTGCCGCTTGAACAGATGTTGTTAACAGCAGGGTTGTCGTTTTTTGGATGACGCAATGCTTTTCAAACTGTAAATGAGTTTAGTTAACGTTGGGGATTATTGTTTTTCAATTTAAAAAATTATAAAAAAAATATTAAAAAAACGACAAAAAAAGATATTTGCGATATATGTATGTATATGTATATATTAATAGACAGTAATCAGGTTTTTTCTATTTTTCCGCTCTAAATTATGATTAATATAATAAATTAAATTTTATTTGTTTCATACAATCTTAAACAATGTTTAATAGCTTTTTAGCCTTTAAAGTGATTGTATCAAATCCTGTCAAGTATTGTATATACAGTTTTTAACTATGTATATATATATATATATATATATATAAATAAAATTAATTCTGTTTTGTCATTGCCGGGGTTTTCAAAGCCACATGAAATCTGTATTCATGAGAGTCGATCGAACAATTAAATAATTGAAAAGATTGATGATATTCCATTTCAACGAAAGTATGTGTGTTAAAATAGTAAAGGATCCTCGCGCTTTAAGAAAAAAAATTTTGAAAGCATTTAAGAGTTTTAACATAGGAGTAAAAGATGAGGAGGATTGGAAAAAAATCAAATTGGTTAAAATATTTCTAGAAAATGATTTTTTTTTGTTTTTACAGAATTGATTTCAGTCTATTTTAATAAATTATTCTTTATATATTTATAGGTGATATCTGAATCAGGTATGTACATATATAACCTTTAACTTTTTCTTATATATTGTTAATTTTATTACTATGATACAATTATTTAATGAAGATTTTCTGTATTAAGATCTATATAAAATACCTTTGTTAGATTCAGGTCGATACTACCTCTTTAAATAGTTTTATCAACACAGTCAAACCCAATGGAACATTAAAACCTTCATTTAAAAAATATTGTCACAGCCCTAACAGGCGAAAATGTTTAAATAATGTTTTTAAGATTATCTATTAGTGTCGATTAAAAAAATATTGCCTTAATGAGTGTTTCATTTTTTAAGGTTAGATTTTGTAAACCCCTACATAGACGTATATTTTAATGAAAGTTTTTTTAGTTATCTTCATGTGTATTGAAATTATATATGTACATTTTTAAAGGAATTCATAAGCGTAAAAAAAACAATTTGCCAAGTTGTTATTTAAAACAACATGTTTTATTAAAACAAATATTTTAAAATAGATTCTTTTTCCAAAAAACTAGATTTTTAAGTACTTTCATAGACGTAGAATAAAAATGGTTTAAGAGAGTTAAACAATTAAATAAAAATAATCCGTTTTTAGGGCCCAGGCATATTAATTTTAAAACAAATTTTTAGGACCATTATAAGCTTGGGTACTTACATTCCTATAAAATTAAAAAAAATATTTTTTTTAAGGAACTTCATAGGTGAAGATTTAAAGAACTTACTTTTAGGGACCTTTATAGACCTAGATTTAAACATTTTTAGAGAGATACATTTTGAATAAAATATATTTTTTGCGTCTGTATATGCTTAGATTTTAAAATTTAATATTTTAAAAGACCCAAGAAGGACTTTAAAAAATATATTAGATTTAAGAAAATAGATAGAATAGAATAGATAGATAGAATTCTTTCAAAACTGATTTTTGAAATCCATCTAATATAAGCGTAAAGTTTCTTGTTTCTTAATAAACATCACAAATACAATTGAAAAGTGTAACACTAAATATTTTCTATAGAAAAAAATTGTGTCCCCGGTGATCTGGGATTTTATAAAGGAATGTCTATTATTTTTCTATAGAAACAAGTGTCCTCGGTGTCCAGAGATTATACTCTTTGTAGTAGGTATATGGGTGAAAAATGTTTTCCTATCTCAGAAGTAATGAAATATTTTCTACCAAAAGAGGAAGATGATTCAATAGAATGTTTTCCGTTTTTTAAACTAAAAGCAGTTTTGCAGTATTTTTTCAGAAGCTCGCCACACATAAAAATGTGTATATATATATTTATATTGAAACCCTTTAGTAATTCTCATCAGCTTTAAAAAAATACGCTTCTCAAAATTATTCTCACATTTACATAATTTCCATATTTCATAAACATCCTACAAAATTTCAATTATATTTTCCATGTGAAAATTTTCCAAAAATATTATGTGAAAGGAATTGAAAAAATGGAAATCCAATAGCTAGTCAAATGTCAGTTTGCCTAACTATATATGATGGCCAAATGAAAAAATAACAAAAACTTGGTTAAATCGCCATCTGTGCGAAAAATGACATCCAATTTATTAGGTGCGCTTTGGTTTGGTGGTTGGCGGTGGTGGTGATGGTTGGAGGTGTTTGCCGCACCACCATTCTCTATAATACTCTAAGCGAAAAACCAAAATGGAGTCGAAACACTAAATATGTGAATACTTACAATGAATGACATGATGAAAAATCCAACAAAAACCCACAACAACACCAACAACAAAATCTTGTAAATCTATAGAAATCAACGAAAAAAAAAACAAACAAAATTCAAAAACTAACGACATTCACCATGTTGTAAAAATTGCATTGCATATTAGACCAAACAACAACAGCAACAACTACAACAACACTAATGACAAGTGCCGCACTGATGCCGCTTGAGTGAGTGCGTAATACTGAAACTAAAACATTGCAAATTTTTTAAAAAGTTGATTTTTCAGCTTTAGCCAATCCGCTTTGAAGAGCTTAACGACAACGACAACAAAATAAAACAAAAACACCACCAACAACAACAGCAACAAAACATTAGAAAATACTAAAACAAACAACACCACCAAATACAACAACAGCATCACTGAAAAAATCACCTTAAATTACATTTGTTTCGATTTCCATTTGATTCATTTGGTGGTGGTAGTGTTGGTGCTGCTGCTGGACGCATACGACGACCCCAAACAGGTGTTGCAGGTCTATAGGCCACTCGTTGCCACTCAACGCAACAAGCGTTAGACATGGTTTAAACCGTTCACAATGTGCGTTGTTGCTGTTGTTTTTTTCATTCGATTTCAGCTACTTTTTTGCTGTTACGATTTGGCGGTGAACGCATTAAATGAACAACAACAGCAGCAACAACGACAACAAACAAAAAATAGCCAAACTGAAAAAAGCCGATCTAACAACCGAACACGTTAAGCACGCGTTTTGAATTCATTTACCACTCTAATGTATCATGGAAATTATCAAGTGCTAAAGCCTGATTTCGATTTAAGTTGTTGCTGTTTGGTGTTGTTGTTGTTGTTGTTGTTTTTTTCTATCTCGTCCGATGCTAGTCAATATGTTTGTTTTACACACATACCAGGGAGCCACTAGATTGAAATGTGAACACCGTTACTGTGTGTTGGGATGCACGAGGTGGACGTAAGGAAGTTTTTAGGACCTCGGACGAGAAGGAAGACATCGATGTATTGAATACTGTGAAGAGAAGGTCTTCTATATACATATAAGAGCTATCTACATAGGTGTAGATTTTGAAAAGAAAACATTTTTAATGCGTAATTGATAGATTTTTGTACAAATATAGTTTAAGGTCCTTGATAGGGGTAGATTTTTTTAAATAAATTTTAAGGCCCTTGATAAGCGTTGACTTAAAAAAAAATGTTTTTAGGACCTTGAAAGGTGGTTGATAGGTGTCGACTTAAAAAAAATGTCTTTAGGTCCTTAATATGCGTCGACTTTTTTAAAAATGTTTTTTAGGTCCTTGACAGATGTACATTTTTTTAAATGTTTTTTAGGTCTCTGATAGGCGTAGATTTGTTTGAAATGTTTTTTAGGTCTTGATGGGCTTCACATGTTTATGACAATATTTTAAGGTCCTTGATAGGCATATATTTATTAAAAAAATATTTTTAAGGTCCTCGATAGGCGAAGATTTATTAAAAAAAATTAAAGTCCTTCAAAGGGCGTAGATTTACTGTTAAAAATCTATAGGATGTCGTTTATTCCTACGAATATGAAGTCCTCTATTCATAGGAGATCGATAGGACATCCTATGAGGCATTCTATCTATATGGGAGCCATATGAGGACTACTATCCATAAAATACCCATTGGAGATATTCTACCCGATAGAAGATCGGTAGCATTCTTTCTATCTATAGGAAATCTATTAGGGGTACGTCCGTCCGTAGATGACCAATATATGTTCTATAAAAATATAAAATCTATTGGAGGTAATATATCAATAAGAGAGCTGAAGGAGGTCTTATGTCTAAGGTCTTTTATATATGTGGTCTCCAATATATAACAGACCTAGAGGGACACATTTTATCTATGGAATACCTCTATGCAGTAGGTGGTATTATATATATAGAAGTACGACAGGGGGTATTTTTTATAGAAGGCCGATAGTCAGTAGGACGTCTTCTATCTAAAGAGTACCTGAAATAATTTTTCTATCTCTGGGAGACCTGTAGAAGGCAATCTGTCTGTGAGAGACTTTTAAAACGTTTTTTTCTATTGGAGATATATATGAAGTCTTCTATCTTTAGGAATCCTATCGATTTAAGCTCTTATATTTACACCGATTTGAGGTCTTATATCTATAGAAGACCGATACCAAGTTGTTTTTTTCTTTGAACATCGACAGGAAGTCTTCTATTTATAGACCTCTAGGATGACTCTAATTCATAGTGAAGCGTTAAGAGGACTTCTATCTATAAAAGTTGGATAAAAAAATTTCTATCCATAGGAGAGGAATAGTTCTTTTATCCACAAAAGACCAAGAAAATCTTCTACGGATTGGAGGTATTTTATTTATTAGCGACTGTAAAGACTGGAGTTTTCCACTTATTATATGTGGTTTATTTTTTTTGTATAAATTTCCCACCACTTCCTCGTATACAAAAATCTACGCATAGCTACGCT